CCCAGATTAACGAAGAGGAAGTAAAATACTTAAATAACCCCATCTCAGAAAAAGAAATTGAACAAGCCATTGATGAACTCCCTAGGAAAAAATCTCCAGGGCCAGATGGATTTACATGTGAATTCTATCAAACATTTAAAGAACAATTAATTCCAATACTATATAGACTATTTGGGAAAATAGGTGAAGAAGGAGTCTTACCAAATTCTTTTTATGATACAAATATGGTGTTGATACCTAAACCAGGAAGAGTCAAAATAGAGAAAGAAAATTATAGACCAATTTCTCTAATGAATATAGATGCAAAAATTTTAAACAAAATACTAGCAAATAGATTGCAGCAACTTATCACAAGAATAATACACTATGACCAGGTAGGATTTATACCAGGAATGCAGGGTTGGTTCAATATTAGGAAAACTATCAGCATCATTGAGCATATCAACACAAAACCAACAGAAACCACATGATCATCTCAATAGATGCAGAAAAAGCTTTTGATAAAATACAACACCCATTCCTATTAAAAACACTAGAAAGCATAGGTATAAATGGAGTCTTCCTTAAAATAATAAATAGCACATATCTAAAACCTTCAGCAAGCATTATATGTAATGGAGACAGGCCAGAAGCAGTTCCAATAAGATCGGGAGTGAAACAAGGATGTCCATTATCACCACTGGTATTCAATATTGTACTGGAAACCTTAGCTTTAGCAATAAGAGAAGAAAAAGAAATTGAAGGCATTAGAATAGGCAAAGAAGAAACAAAGCTACCACTCTTTGCAGATGACATGATGATATACTTACAGAATCCTAGAGAATCAAGTAAAAAACTACTTGAAATAATAAACAACTTTAGCAAAGTTGCAGGCTATAAAATAAACCCACATAAATCATCACCATTTCTATATATTACCAACAAAGCCCAACAGCAAGAGATTTAAACTTACTGTAGACATTATAAAATATTTAGGAGTCTACCTCCCAAAACAAACCCAGGAACTCTATGAACACAATTACAAAACACTTTTCACACAAATAAAATCATATCTAAATAAATGGAAAAACAGCAGTTGCTCATGGGTAGGCTGAGCTAATATAATAAAAATGACAATCCTACCTAAGCTAATTTACTTATTCAGTGCCATACCAATCAAACTACCAAAAATTATTTTATAGAGTTAGAAAAAATAATAACAAGATTCATTTGGAAAAACAAAAGGTCTAGAATATCAAAGAAACTAATGAAAAGAAATGCAGGGGAAGGTGGCTTAGCAATTCCAGATCTTAAATTGTATTATAAAGCAGCAATCATCAAAACTGCTCGGTACTGGCTAAGAAATAGGGAGGTGGATCAGTGGACTAGATTAAATATGCAAGACACAGTAGTCAATGACTATAGTAATCTATTATTTGATAAACCCAAAGATCCCAGCTTCTGGGATAAGAACCCACTCTTTGAAAAAAAAACTGCTGGGAAAACTGGAAAAGAGTATGGCAGAAACTAGGCATAGACCCAAATCTCACACCATATACCAAAATAAAGTCAAAATGGGTTCATGACTTAGATATAAAGGCTGATACCATAAGTAAACTGGGAGAACAAGGAATAGTTTACCTATCAGATCTATGGAGAACAGAAGAATTCATGACCAAACAGGAGATAGAGAACATTATGAAAAGCAAAATGGATAATTTTGATTACATTAAATTGAAAAGTTTTTGCACAAACAAAGCCAATGCAACTAAGATTAGAAGGAAGGTAGAAAATTGGGAAAGAATTTTTACAACCAGTCTCTCTGATAAAGGCCTCATTTCTAAAATATATAGAGAATTAAGACAAATTTATAAGAACACAAGCCATTCCCCAATTGATAAATGGTCAAAGGATATGAACAGACAGTTCTCAGATAAAGAAATTAAAGCCAACCTCTAGTCAAATGAAAAAATGCTCTAAATCATTATTGATTAGAGAAATGCAAATCAAAACAACTCTGAGGTACCACATCACACCTATCAGATTGGCCAACATGACAAAACAGGAAAATGATAAATGTTGGAGAAGATGTGGGAAAATTGGAACACTAATACATTGTTGGTGGAGTTGTGAAATGATCCAACCATTTTGGAGAACAATTTGGAACTATGCCCAAAGGGCTACAAAAATGTGCATACCCTTTGATCCAGCAATAGCACTTCTAGGGCTATATCCCAAAGAGATCAAACAAATGGGAAAAGGACCCACATGTACAAAAATATTCATAGCAGCTCTTTTTGTGGTGGCAAAGAATTGGAAATTGAGAGGATGCCCATCAATTGGGGAATGGCTGAGCAAGTGGTATATGAATGTAATGGAATACTATTGTGCTATAAGAAATGATGAACAGGCTGACTTCAGAAAAACCTGGAAAGACTTATATGGTCTGATACTGAGTGAAGTGAGCAGAACCAAGAGGACTTTATACACAATAATAGCCACGTTATGCGATGACTAGTATTGTTAAACTGAACCCTTCTCAGCATTACAAGGATCTAAGACATCTCCAGAGGCCTCGGGGATGGAAAATGCTGTCCACACCCAAAGAAAAAACTATGGAAGTCGAATCATTCTCCCTTATTTTTACCTTTTGTGGAGTTTTGTTTCATCTTTCTGATGGTTCCTCCTATTGGTTTTAATTTTGACTTACAACTTCACTAATGTGAAAATATGTTTAATGGGTATGCAAATGTAAAGCCTATATCAGATTGTATGCCGTCTTGGGGAGGGTGAGGGGGAAGAAGGGGTAGAAAAATTTTCAACTCAAAAGCATATGGAAGTGACTTGGTAAATCAAAATAAATTAATAAAAAAAAATTAACCTACACTGAGTTGCTTGCCTTTTCAATGAGTGGGTGGGGAGGGAGGAAAGGAGAAAATTTGGAACCCGAAGTTTTAAAAACACATGTCTAAAAAATGTTTTCACGTGCAACTGAGAAATAAGAAATACAGGTAATGGGGTACAGAAGTCTATCCTGCCCTACAGGAAAGTAGAAGGGAAAAGGGGTAAGAGAAGGGGGGGAGAGATAGAAGGGAGGGCAGACTAGGGGAAGGGGTATTCAGAATGCATGACTTTTTGGGGTGGGGGAGGGGTGAGAAGGGGTAAAAATTTGGAACTCAAAATCTTGTGGAAGTAAATATTGAAAACTAAAAATAATAAATTTTAAAAAGAGAGAGTATTTTGAGGAGCCACACAGCCAGTGGGATTTGGGAGTCTGAAACTGGGTCTTCCTGATTCCAAGACCTGCTCATTGTGTCACACTATTAATAAAAAAGTAAGTAAAGTTATGGAATGTACGTCCACAAATATCACAAGTTGAAAATACACTTTAGTTCTAGAGGGGCTTAGATTAATTTAGAAGAGGCTAAAGAAAATTAAGAACCTTTGAAGGTAGTCAATAAAGGCAGCTCTTTCAGCCTCTAAGCAAAATAATGGCAGGAAGCCTTGGCTACCACCAGTACAGTACTTCTCCCAGGCTGGAGGAGGCTGAGACAGGTGGAAGTAGTTTGTCAATTCTTAGGATTACAGTATTTAGAGGTGAAACATAACTTGGAGATCACTGTTTAACACTCATTTTATAAGAGGGGAAATTGAGACTAAGAAAGGCAAAAGCTCTCCATGATCTGGTTCCATCCTACGTTTCCAGTCTTATTTCACATTATTCCTCCTCACACACAACATTGCTCAAACTTGCCCATCTCCTTATACCTTTCTGCTTTTCAGAAAGTTTATCTGACTTTCAGGCTCAGTTCAGGTCCCATATCCTCTGCCAAGACTGTGATTTCACTAATTACTAGTGTTCTCTTCCTCCTCAAGTTACTCTGTATTTACTTTTTTATGTACATATTATGTCACCCCTTGGAATGCAATCCCCTTAAAAGGCCAAAGCCGTGTGGCTTTTGCTTTTGTACCCTCATCACTGTGCTTTTGACACAGTGGGCTAGTGCTCTGCACATAGTAGGCCCATAATGTTTGTTGAAGTACTATGTACAAGGTCACACAGTCACAGGAAAAGGCAAAACAGGAACTGGAGTCCAGTTAGATCCAGATCTAGTCATCTTTTCACTTCAAAGCAGCAACTTCAAGCCAAGGGCAAAACACACTGAACTCAACTGAATTCAACCAACTTGGTCAAGGTATGACGATGGAGGTAAAGTAGAAAGTGAAATCCCTACACTTAGGGAGCTCCTATTCTATTGGAGGGATACAACATTTGATCAAATAATAAAGGATAATGCGACATGGGAGGCACTACTAAAAACTGACAAAGGAAGACATGGGAAACAAGAGTCAGGTAGCAGTGCCAAGGCTCCAAATGGACGCTTATGGTAGTAATTTCAAAAGTCGGAGGTGGGGGGGAGGCATAGTACCGCCACCGAGGTGAGGATAATATGAAAGCATATACAGGTAGGTTTGAGACAGTCAGCTAGCATTTATTAGGCACCTGCTATGTGTTAAGCACTGTACTAAATGCTGGGGGTACAAAGGTAAAAAACAAAAAGAGCAAACCTAAACCCCCCCAACAAACTGGATTAAGGCTTTGCATGCCAAGCTGAGGAATTTGTGTTTTAAGCCGCTGAACACACTTTTCAGCAGTGGAGTGGGGTCAGATTAATGGATAAAAACGAGGAAGGGGGGCGGGAGGCGGCTCTTGAGGAACGAATCCCAGCGGGGGCACCTGGGGAAGGGACAAAAGGGGGTGGCAGGAGAGGAGAAGGCAGATCTCGGATGGAGACGTCATCTATCCGAGACTTCATCTATCCCCTCCTTATCTTCCAGACTAGCACGGCCAGACCCCGAGGGTCGTAATGAACTGAGCACCGGACCGGATCGCTTTTTCGCGGGGATGAGAAGCGCAGCCCAGCGGGGGTGAGGGAGACCCCGGAAATCCCGAGTCCGGGGCCCCGACAGATGGTCCCGCTGATCCCCAGGCACAAGCACTTCCCCGTCCCAAGCCTTACGGTCAATGCAAGACAAGACGCCCCGGACGCTTCCGCAGGCTGGCTTTTGCAGACTCCCGTGCAAGCTGCCCAGTTGGGCGGCCAGGCGCCCGCCGCAGAGCCTCAGCATGGCCTCGTCGCCGGCAGGGTCTCGCCGTCTCGGGTCACTGGCACAGTCCCAGGTTGCTGGCTCGCGCAGTTAAAGCTCAGACCGAAACTAGCCTGAGGCTAGGATTGGGCTGGGGGTGGGAGGAGGCTGGGGCTGCCCCGCGGCACTCTGGGAATTGTAGGCCGGCGGGCAGGGGCGGAAGGAAACCATAGCTCCCTGATGGCCTTGTGAGCGCCTTACAGGAGACGCAAGGCGTAATCTCGTGGTCTTTGCGTGCTGCCGGTGTCTGCGTGGGTGGCGAGGGCTCTGCGGAGGGTAAAGTGGCCGAGGTGGGAGACTGAGGGAGAGTTGCGATTCACCTGAGTAAGAGCTAGAGATGACGGTGGGAACGTGGGTCGGGGCTCCTGTAACAAGTAGAGAATTGCAGGTTGAAGCTGAGCGAACTGGTACCATTCTTGGGCGGGGATGGTGATGGCTGTGCTTCCCTGCGCTTAGAGAGCCTTTACAATGAGCTTCTCCTTCCACCTCAGCCCATCCCACTCCCACGCCTAGAAACAGACCCGAGACGCTGCTTCAAACTTCCCTTCTATGTCCTGTTCGCTCCGTACAGTCAGGATGCCCTTTGACCTCTTCCCCACAAGTTCCCCCTCCCCCACTTTGCCTTGTGCATTTCCCAGGACGTGACCGTCGGCTGCATTATCTGCTCCAGAGTTCCCATTCCTCCAGGTCTCTGCTGAGTGACCATGCCGAGGCAACGGAAGAGAGCGTCCCGGGGTGCACCAGAGCCAGGTGAGCAGTAGCCCTGCGGTTCGCCTTGGGGCAGCGTTCCAGGGGCCAGTCTGCTACCTTGCCTGAAGGCAGCTACCTTAAGTGCTTGGCTTTGGAGAGCAGGGGTGTAATAAGTCACATATAAAAGGCCCTCTTTGTTCATGTCCCATTGATAGAATGCAATTATTGCTCTTTTTTTCTTAGGTGGATAATTATGTGGATAATCTGTTGAAGAAATCCAAGTTAGCAACAATTTTATGAAAAAAAAAGTTGCTATTAGAGAAATGCAAATTAAAGCAACTCTGAGGTTCTACCCCATACCTGTCAGATTAGCAAATTGACAAAAAAGGAAAAAGATAGTTGTTGGAGGAGCTGGAAAACAGGCATACTAATGCACACTAATGCACTGTTGGTAGGGCTGTGAATTGTCCAGCCATTCTGAAAAGCGCCTTGCAATTGTGCCGTAAAGGCAGGGTAGGATTAAGAGAAATAGAGTTAGTTTTTCACAACATGTCTACTATGGAAATGTTTTGTATAACTACACATGTATAACCTATATTGAGTTGCTTGCCTTTTCAATGAGGGTGGGTGGGGAGGGAGGGAGGAAGGGAGAAAACTTGGAACCCAAAGTTTTAAAAACATATGTTTAAAAAAAATGTTTTCACACGCAACTGGGAAATAAATACAGGGAATGGGGTACAGAAGTCTATACTGCCCTACAGGAAAATAGAAGAGGAAGGGGATAAGAGAAGGGGAGGAGAGATAGAAGGGAGGGCAGACTAGGGGAAGGGGTATTCAGAATGCATGCCATCTTGGGGTGGGGGGAGGGGCAAGATGGGGTGAAAATTTGGAACTCAAAATCTTGTGGAAGTAAATATTGAAAACTAAAAATAAATAAAATTTTATATATATATATATATATATATAAGGAATTGTGCCCTAAAGTAATTAAACTGTGTATGTCTTTTGACCCAGAGATACAACCAGGGTTGTACCCCCCAAAGACATCAGAGAAGGGAAAAGGAGTCCTGTAGACAAAATATTTGTATGGTATTTAAAAACAGGAAAGTAAAAGGGTGTTCATCTATTGGGGAATGGCTTAACAAACAAATGGATTATCTGTGCATTATCCACAGGAACATTTTCAGCGTAATGTGAGTTATTGTTACTATTATTGTTTTCCATAGGAATGGTGCTGGTTTTCTACTATCATCCATCATGCTAATAGGCCACCTTACATCCATAAAATGTTTCTTGTGTGTTGTCTCCCTTGTGCAAGGCACTGTACTGGGCACTGTGGGGAATACAAAGGTCAGAGGCTCAGACTAGTTGACTAAGAAATACATGTGGCAGAAATGCCATAAATACAGTAACGAAGTTACAGGCAGGGTGCTATTAAATTTTAGGGAAGGGAGCAAAGCTGGGAACTGAATTGGGATGTGAACTTTCTAACAATTATTGTAGTTCAGTCCTATCTGACTTCTTTGTGACCCCATAGTACACCAGGCCTTTCTGTTCTCCACTATCTCCTGAAACTTGTCTAAGATTCTGTGACACCATCCGTCCATCCTCTGCTGTCCTCTTCTCCTTTTGCCTTCAGTCTCCCAGCATCAGAATCTTTTCCATTGAGTTCTTTCTTTTCATTATGTCGCCAAACTATTTAAGCTTCAGCTTCAGTATTTGTCTTTCCAGTGAATAGTCAGAGTTAGTTTCTGTAAGTGTTGATTGATTTGACCTCCGTGCTCTCCAAGGAACTTTCTAAAATCTTCTCCTGCACCCCAATTTGAAAGCATCCCTTCTCCAGCACTCTACTTTCCTTATAATCCATCTCTTATAGCCACACATTACCACTGGGAAAACGATGGCTTTGACTATCTGGACCTTTGTCAGCAAGGTGATAGCTCTCCTATCAAAAAATTTAACTATCAGAACTAGCCAAAAATGTAAGAGACCTCCTCATGAGGAGGGAAAGTCAAAGTTTACAGCCCAAAAGATGGACAACAATCATCAGGTGTTGGAGAAAGTATAGATTCATATTTTGAAAAAAAAAAGTTAGACTCAGTCTGTCTCTAAAATCCTTTACAGCTCTGGGAATCTATGATTTTTGACAGGTAGAGGTGGGAGGGCAGAAACAGTATGAACTGCTGTTTGGAAATGGGAATATGCCAGGCATATGTAGGCACAACATTTAGTCCAGTTTGGATGAAACCTAGGAGAAATTCAGAAGAATTTTCTCCGGGAGATAATGCTGAAAAAGTAGCCTGCATCAAGAGCATGGGGGGTTTTAAGGACCAGTCTAAGGAGTCTGAACTTAATTAAGTGGGCTGTGGAGAATCTTTGCAAGTTTTATATGGCATTTTTGTGTGGAATACACTGGAAGGGGAAGAACTCCTAGAATCCAGAGATAGTGCCTTATTCTTGTGAAGAAGTAATTTGATGTGAATTAGGGTTTTATGGTAGAGATGGAAAGTAGGTGACATGTGAAAGGCAATGTGCAGATATTTAAGGAGAATGATGCATGAGGCAAGGACATTGTAGATTGGACTCTCATGATTAGGATTGCCTATATTTCTTCCAGCTTGGCAGTTCTGTGATCCTAAAACCAACAGAACTCAGCAACTGATGAATGCTGGGAGGAGTCACGATTTTGATCTTGGCAAGACTCACAGAATGGTTCTACCATTCATAGAAATGGGGAAAGCATATACATTTATTGGGGGAAGGTGATGAATTTGGTTGGGGCATGTTGTCTTTAAGGTGCATTTGAGAGCAGATGTCCAGGATGCACTTATAAGTCTGGGCTTAGAGAAGGAATCTGAGAGTTGTACTTGGAACGCAGTAAAAGCTGTGGAAGTGTATGAAATTGTCAAAGGAGAGGGCTTTGGTAGAAAAGAGAAGGATGTAAAGACCAGAACCTTGGATATAACTACACTTTAAGGGGCAGAATGGAAGAGGGGTCAGTAGAGACAAAGAAGGCTCAGTTAGAGGTCAAGGAGAACCAGAATGATGTCATGGGAATCAAGAGAGGAGAGATTCTAGAAGATACTATGTAAAAAGAAAAAGTAAAACCAGACCTTGCCATCAATGAGCTTACATTCTAATAGAGAAACATATAAATCAGAATATCCAAAATCAATACAAAATAGATGGGAGGTAACCTTATAGGTGATTGAGAAGGGAATGGGGAGAGGAGAAAGACCAGGAAAGGCCTGCTGGAGGGAGTGGGGAGGGAAAGCATTCCAGGTATGAGGAACATCCAATGCAAAGGCAAGGAGATGGACCACGGGAAGTTGTGTGTGAGTAACACCAAGCAGGTCCATTGAAAGGGAAAGGAACGGAATGTTTAATAAAAAGAAGGCAGGAAAATGCAAGTTGAAAAGAGATGGATTTAAGTGGCAAACAAAGCTCACAGGGTTAGGTCCTGAAGACTAGGCATTCAGGAAAATAGCACTGAATTGGCTGATTGGCAGGTCGTTGTTGACCTGAAAAAGCAAATAGAGTAGTGGACGCTGCAGCCAGATTTCAAGGGTTTTAGGTCATGAAGAAATGTAGGCATGAACTGTATCTTTTTAATAGTTTATTGGTGAAGAAAATTTGACAGGGAAGGGGGGAAGGAGAGATGTTAGCATGAATATGTATCAGGTTCAAGGGAGGGAGTTTTTTTGGCTTAAGGATAGAGAAAACCTATGCATATTTTCAGGTAGAGGGGAAAGAGCCATTTGAAAGTAAAAGATTGAAGATGCTGGAGGTATAGGGTAAAAATGGAGCAGGGGCTGGTAGGTTCAGGAAGACAGATGGGGTGGTGAGACATGGCTAGGAAGAAGACCACTTGGGTAAAATTTTTCTGTGCATAGGTAATTAGATCTGATTTTTAATAATGGAATAGTACATTACATCTGTATAGTACTTTCCATAATGTTTTTACATTAATCATTTTAATTGAAAGTGGGAGGGCAGGGTTTCCAGTTCTGTGATGTCATCATTGTGGAGAAATCCTCCATATGGAAAACTTCCTCCAGGGATAGAGGTTGTCAACTCTTTGACTTACAATCTTTGAGAATTACTTGGGGGCACCTAAAGGTTAATTGGTTTGCCCAGATTTGCCCACACTGCTAAGATGTATGAAGAGCAGCACTTGGACCGAGACTTCCAAAACATCTTACTCCCAAGCATATACCTACCTCAATGCCTGTTGACAAACTATGATCAGGAAAGTAAATCTGCTAGTGGAAAAAAAATCACAAAACACATTCCCAAGTCAAACACAAAAGACTTTTACATTTTAATAATAATGAGAGCTAACATTAAATTGAGCTTTTTGAAAGTTTGCAGAAAAGTTTTATATACATTA